AATCCCTTTTCTCCGGCATACGACTCTACAATCGCATCCAACACCCCAACCAATCTCGGATCCCCAGAAGCCTTGATATAAGGCACAACGGGGTAGTGGTTCTCAATGGCAGCGAGGAAGGCCCGAACGTTGAGCGGCATCCAGGCGCGAAGGTGAATGGATTCGATGCCGAGGAAAGACTTGAAGTTTGTACGCTACAGTGGCGAGCGCTTAGTGGGTGGTTGAAGAGAACAAAAAAAGCACGCACTAACAAGAACGTGTCCATACACTGGAAGATCGGCAAAAACAACCCTGAAAGGGCAGGTAACCGCTTCGAAAGAGGTGCTGAGAATTTGGCGTATCCTTGTCTGAAGGCGCGTCAGTCTGGACTGGACTCACAAGAAAGCCGAGAAGAAGGAACTCACCCCCATGTAGCGGGCGGCGCAAAGTTTTCTCCCGCACGCGGGTTCACGCTGATTTTGTGGAAGACATACGCGAGTTGATCGATCACCTCTTTCAGCTTGATCAGCTCGACGAGAAGACCTTCGTTGTCGCGCTCCATTACACGCTCCTGACAACGAGCCATCAGGTCGGGGCCAGGGGTGAAGAGACCATGGACTTCAGCCTACGAATGATGGTTATAATGGATATCGGACGCTCGAATCAGAGGAAGGATTTTGCTCACCATGCACAACAAGAACATCGCCTCTCCACGGTCGTTAAATATGGGCCATCGTAAATCCATGTTTTCAGCTCGTTCAAGGTAAGGGTATATTGAGGTAGGGTCGCGAATCTACGAGAGCGGGGGTTAATTCAAAACAACCGTGGAGATACGGAACAAATACACACCTTGTAATTGTGTAGACCAACATCCGACTGGGACAGGTAAGGCAACGGTCTCCCCAGACGTATGCAGACTTGTCGGAAAGGGATCGTAACAGATCTCGGGATGCCCTTCGTCTCTGGCTCCTACAACCACACGAACACCCAACGTCAATTTGGTTTTCAAACTCGATAAAAAGGACGTACCTCGTCTGGCTCCCCTTTGATATTGTAGAACAACTCCTTCCTCGCTCCCAGGTTCTTAATGCCCTCATGTCCATCGTTGTTCTCCTCATATCTCCAAATACTCGCCAGAATCCCCAAACACACGACCGCAGCCCACAACGCCTCGTCAGGAATCATCTCAACTCCCCCATCAACGAGAGGCAACTCCAATATCGCCTCCCTCACCCGTCCACGTGCGATCAACCCAGGCAAACGCTCACACAAATCCGACCAAACTCGACCTTGGGTACGAGCAAGTGCAGCCGGCGCAGCGTTGGGATCGGGGGGACACAACCCGTGGTCGGTGGAGAGAAACCCGTCTCGCCAGCCAGTTTTGGGACCTACGGCATCGGCACGATCGAGTACCCTACGCGCTGGTGCACCTAATGCGATGGCTAGGACATCCAACTCTGGTGGGTTGAGGCTGTCGGCGTTCTGGAGCATCGCCTTGGACGAACTGAGGTCTTTTGGCGGTGCGGAGGGGAGGAGCACCTCGCAGATGGTCTTCTTCTCGCGTTCGAGAGCGGTTTGGATCGCGTTAGGACCTTGAGGGGCGCCGTAGAGTGTAGAGGAGGAAGGTTGGGGGGAACCGAGCCAGGCGCAGCCTCGAGGGCCATACCCGGAAAAGACGGAGGGGTTTGAAGAGTTGTGCGAGACGGGACAGGCTCCAGATTTAGAGCCAGTTGCAGGGCATCGCGAAGAGACGGAGGACATGTTGGAGTTGTGCGAGATTGTAGGTCTAATTGGTGTCGGTTTGGGTGGAATGGGCTGTCTAAATTGAATGCAGAAAGAGCGAACTGGTGGGACGAGTGTAAGAAAAGGATAAGGGTGAGAAGTATGTAGACTCACCGAAAATGTGAATGGTAGGTCCAAGATGAGGCTACGCTATGCAATAAGTGGCCCTCTGAGAAAGAATGAGGTATACGCTAGCGCAACCTGAAAATGATCTGAAGGAGGGAGATCAAAGAAATCTGAAACCAGATAGATATAAGTATAAGGAAGGTGAGATCAAAGTCAAGAACAAAAGGGCTGTACTACGCTTACCGAGCCAGCAGATTTTGTGCTCATTCAACAGCTGCACCCCAGCCTAGCCTAGAACCAGAACAACGAATATGTCGCGAAATGAATCACTGTTTACGAACCATGAATATCACTACCGCCTTTTCCGAGTCCCAACGGAATGGTACCTCCGTCAGCGCGGTAGACCGTGGCAACCATCCAACAGATACCCACGGGAAGATCCGCTGTACGGTGAGGTTTCTCGTGTTTGATCGAACAAAACGAGGCGGAACAGGTACTGATAGATTGCTTTTGATGGTACATGTATCACGGTGGCGGAGGAGGCTGGAGGAGGGGAGCAGAACTCGAATGAAACACGGCAGAAGGGGATGCAAACATTCGGAGAGAAGGTGCGAGCTATCGGTAGGGGTGGAATAAAGCCAATAGAATGGTAGCGTTCACGCAGGCACGTTTACGCTTGGTAGAGATTTTCACTCAGAAAGGTCTTGGCTATGGTTACGTAGTCAGTAAGGTTGTTCAATCGGTCCAATTGAGTATGTTACCGCATGCCAGCAGCTATGTCTATATGACAGTTGCCAATCACCATGCTACTAGAAAGGATAGATGGGGAGAGGAACTCTGAGCTCGGCGATCTAGGGATGGTTCGAGAACCACTATGAATGACTTTGAGGGAGGATGAACTCGAAGGACACACATGGTAACAAGGTCATGGTTACGGTTGAAGAGAAGGGAACAGGCCAAACGGGGACCCACAACCCGCTTGTCCCTCGGGTTCCCACGCCCCAACTTACTTCACATCCCATGGCATTGAACTCAGAAACGCAGAAAAGGATCACGAAGCTACCTAGCTTAAGTCGCTAGATCTCATTCGACGGTACTCTCATTTTACAGCTCCGAATCGACGGTCTCTCTTCATTAGTACTGATGGCTGACCTCTCGTCCATTTAACCAGGCCATTTACCCGCAGGTCGAAGAATCATGAAGATCATCACACTCCCGTCCACGTATATAACATCGCTCTTCGGAGCCCGGACTGCCATCATGACTGGCCCGCTCTTTTCCAGCGCTGAAGCGCCCCAACGGTCGTCAATCAAAGCGGTGCAAGTTGCACTGTACTTACATGTTCATGATGTATCCTCTAGCCTCCTAAAACAAATTTCATCTGTTTACTCAGAGCCAGGCCCAAGACAAGTCCATTGATCGTCAAGCAGGTCAATCAGGAACCACAAGTATGGAGGCACGTCTCAACGTTTGCACGGTCTGCGTATGCAGTTCCTCCATGACCTCCTGTCAGAGCAATCGCAGAAAGAGAGAGAAGAAAGATTTCGTCAACAACCTGACACACAGACCAGAGAAGATCTAAACGTACTCCCGCGTTCCTAATCTCCCTCGTCAGGCCAACGCCCGTCCCCGCCCACACAACCTGTCTCTCGCTCTCCCCTTCCACTCTCCCTTCTTCATACCTCCTCACTCTTTCCTCAAGCTCAACCCCTCCCTCCACATCCTCTAAGATTCCGTTGACAATCGCTCTCCCATCTAACCCTTCGGGCCACAATGTACCTCTCCTTCGAACCTCGTCGAACGCGGTACTCCTTCGTGTGCTATTCAAGTTTCCAGAGCGACCGGCTCGGAGAATGACATCTTTTTGTAGCGAAGGAAAGACGGCCTCGTGTGTGAAGAGGAAACGGGTGCCTAATGCCACGCCTGATGCACCCAGGGTGAGGGCAGACGCAATTTGTGAGCCAGTGGCGATACCACCTGCAGCGAGGATGATGGGTCCCTCCTTATAATTGATGTTAGAATCTTGGGCATGAGGAAGAGCGCTAATCATCGCGCTCAACAGGACTGAGAGAGGAGGAGCGTTAGCTGAGCCGTGACCACCAGCTTCGTTACCTAGCCTCCGCACAATATCTGAGTCTGAAGGATACACAATGGTTAACCTAAATTTCACTCACCCTGCACAACCAACCCATCCACGCCCCACTCATTCGTAGCTCTCACCCCATCCTCCACAGAATTTACGATCACGAAGACTAACGTTTTATGCTCCCCACGTCTCCTCGCGTCGTACTCCCGAACCTTTTTGACATACCTCCCCAAACCTTCCCCATCCTCGCCTTCATGACCAAAAGCAAACCAGACAGCCCTCGGTTTCTCTGCCAGCACCTTCCCTAATCTCGGATCCTGCTCCTCCGAATCTGGAGCCTCAGTACGATCCAAAACCCAACCTAGGAACCCTACGCCGACGGGAAGAACATCGTCCTTTTCGAGCTTCAGTTCGGATCGAATAGTTGCGAGCTCGGAGAGAATTGTTTCGGAGGAGTCTTCATCTGTAAGTGATCGCGATTGGTAGGTCAGCGTACATTCAAGGGAGACGAATTTGTCCGCACCTGCACCTAGAAACCCAAATCCTCCTGCCTTTGTAACTGCCAATACTAGCTCGGATCGGGCGACGCCTCCCATTGGAGCTAGAGCAATTGGAGCTCTTGTACCTGAAGATATAGAGAGATAAAGCTTCGATCAATATTCCATCGAAATTGAAGGTGAAGGCGTACCTAAGAGCCTTGTAAATCTCGTAGATATAATAGATAGTGGGGAAGACGCCATAGCATGGGGGGTTGAAGCGCTGAAGCTCGAAGGATTGAAGGGCCCGCGAGAGTCTGGCTAGGAGCCTAGCTAGACTTGGATCGAACAAATGCGTGAAGACATGAAGATTCCCCAATGCCGGTGGTGGTGGACAGGGAACAAGGCGCGACTCTGGTGAGAACTATCAACATTAGTCCTCCGCACCAACTTCATTGTAGCTCACATCGCGATCCAAGTTCTGAAGCTCTCGTGCAATGTCCTTTCTATCTTGATCGCTTTTCTACTCTTCAGAGCTGTACTGCAGCCTTTATGTCGGAACATGAATTCGTGGGCTCTTGATGGCTTGACCAAAGAAAATGAGCTTATACACACCGTTGGTGAAGTGGTTATCATGCTTGCCTTCCATTTCCTAGGTGTTTATAGATGCAGCAAGCGGCTCGGGTTCGATTCCCGAACGGTGTACACAAGTTCAAATTCTCCGTCATTTTCAACCACCTGCCTACGATGATTTTGCTACTTCAGCTCCAGCTAAGAGTGAGTAGGTTACCAACCACATATGGCTGGTATCTTCGTCGCATACTTGCCCACACGATTTTCCCGATCACTCGTGCGACAACTTCGAGAAGGAAGAACTTGACAGAGGCGGCGAGCGGTCAAAATACCGAAACGCAAATAGGTTCGTGTATTTCTATCACCGAGTACTAAAAAGCATTATACTAGAGTGTGAGCCTATAGAAACGTATCTCATACTAGTCTACAAATAATGAGTTAAAAGGTTGAACATGTACATACAAGTCCGCTCGTGTAAAGGTATTTGGGAGTAGGGGGCAAAGAAAAACTCGTGGATGGTAATGTAGAGTAGCAAAATGCATACAACAAAAAAAGGGTCGAAACAAAAGCCGCCAAAGTCAAGTAGAGAAGGAGGGGAAGAGGAACGATGCAAGAAGAAAAAAAAGGAAATCATGCATAAGTCAAACGCCAACATAGCTTCCATCCAGATCCAGAACTACTCATCTACTCCCCGTCGCCGACGAATCCCATCAACGCCCGAACGCCTCTAACACCCATGGCGCCTTGCCCGAAGCAGACGTAGACAGGATCCTCCACAGCTCCCATCTTCTGCCTGAACTCGCTCTTTCCGTACAGCTTGAACTCCGTCGCGAGCACCTGGTACAGATGTTCCAGAGACTTGACGATGAGGTTCCGACTGTTGAACCCATGGTGCGGGGCGAGTGACGACGAAGCTCCAGCGCCAAAAGTGACGCAGTGGGCTCCCGTGCCAGCAGCGGCGTCGAGAGCCGTTAGAACGGTCGTTTCAATGGTGCCACTAGAGGAAGTAGTCAGCACAAGGCTAAGAGAAACAAGAAAATGTATCGCGACGTACCTCGGCGCATCCTTGAAATCCAACGCCCACTTGACTTGCCACCCATGCTGTGGTGACAGTTGCGTGAGGACAACCAGCGAATGGACCTTGGCGTCGCCTCCGTCGCCATACGTAACACCAACAAAGTACATCCGATGTTCATAGTCCCTCCACGGCGCAAGCTCTGTAAGATGCATCTGCTTGCCCTTGTTCTTCCTCTCCTCAGTCCACTCTTTGATCCTCTCGTCCAGCTTCTTCACGATATCCTCCGGTGGCATCTCACCCTGCTTGGTCTCAATTACCTTGACACCCTCCCGCTTGGCATGCCTAATCTTCTTCTGCACTGCTGCATCCTCCTTCGCCCGGTTGTCGATAGTATCCGTCCGGTCCTCCGCCACACACGTTAGCGTCTTGAACGAATACTGCCCACCCAAAATCCCCTCCACATCAGCCGAAACCAACATCCAAATCGGCTTCCCAACCTCCTTCTTCACCCAAGGAAGGAAATCGTTGATAACCTCCACAAACTGTTTCGGGTCGCACAACGGGTCGCCAACGATGATAGCAAAGCCTTTGCTCGGGACGTAGCCAATCGCGGCGCCAGTCTTGAGGTGTCGCCATACTTTGTAGCGGTCATCTGTCCAGGAGGTGTTGGAGGCATCACCGTAGTTGGCAATGAGTTTCTCGAGAGGCATGGCTTCGTTGACTTGCTCCATCGTCTGGGGAGGGTCGATCTGGGCTGAGCGATCTTCCCACGGTGGATTCATCGTGTCGCAATCGTGATGTCTGGGTGCGGGAGGTGCGTGGTCGTGTGGGAGAGACTTGGGGTCGCGAGGGAAGAGAGAAGCGTGTCGAATGTCAGGGAGGTTGAGGAGAAGCATAACGAGACGCTCAAGACCGATACCGCCGCCTGCGTGCGGGGGCTGCGAAAGGAAGAGTCAGCACATCATTGACGACAAGGAGCAGAAGAGACTTACACATCCCCATCGGAAGCCTTGAACGTATTCTTTCAACGCGCCGGCAACCTGCACGCCCAATTTGGCCATCTTGTCCTCCAACATTCTAGCATCGTGTATCCTCTGTCCACCTGTAAGGATCTCCTGTCCTCGAAGGAAGATATCGAAACTGTTGGTCCTGCGGTCGTCCTCCGGATCTAGCATCGTGTAGAACGGCCTGGGTCCAGCAGGGAACTTGTCAAGAATGAAGAAGTCGGTGCCGTACTTTTCCTTAACAAGCTTCCCAAGCTGAATTTCGTCCTTCGTCCCCAGATCCTCAAACTCGCTGGGAGGTTCGCCATCCTCATCCGTCCACCCGCTCTCTTTCAGCAGCTTGATCCCTTCTGCGAACGGAAGGATCACGGTCTCCTCCTTCCACACCAGGTCCTCATGCGGATACGCCTGCTTCACAATATCGATCTCCCTCCGACAGCGCTCATACACGGTCTTGAAGATATGCTTAAGCGTCGCATCGATCATCCTCAGCGCCTCATGATAGTGGTCATCCAACGTCATCTCCAGATCCAACCCGGTGAACTCCGTCATATGTCGGTGCGTGTTCGAATTTTCGGCGCGAAAGACTGGGCCGACTTCATAGACCCGCCCTAGGTCACCCGAGATACACATCTGCTTCCCGAGCTGAGGGCTCTGCGCTAGGAAAGCCTTTCTGCCGAAATACTTGACAGGAAAGACAGATGATCCGGACTCTGTGGCGCCACCTTGGAGCTTGGGGGTGTGGATTTCAATGAAACCCTGCGAGTCGAGATAGGAACGGAAGGCGGAAGAGACGGCGGCATTGACTCGGAATATGGATTGCGTAACGGGGGATCGGATGTCGACGATGCGGTTTTCCATTCGGGTGCGATCGCTGATGTTGTGCACGGAGTCATTAGGGTTCTTCGAAAGTTCATCACTGTAGACGGTGAAAGGAACAGGATGTGTGGGTGAGGCGATAAGGTGGAGTTGAGTGACGTGAACTTCGAGATCATGAATTGATGTGCTTTGGATGGGTGTGCTAGGGGAACGGACGATGCCGTGTACGAGGACGAATGATTCTGGTTTGAGATGTTGACCCCAGCGAACGAGGGTATCGGAAATCTCGCCATCTTTTTGGGACAAGACAGCTTGGATCGTCGTCACTTGTTGTCTTAGGACAAAGAAGCTCAACTTGGGTGAGACGGCTCGAACAGTATGTATTCGCGCGCGGAACACGATCTCTTTCTCGATGTAATCGCTTGGGGACGCAGCTAGTTGGTCAAGTGCGAATCGGACCTTGTCTTCGTGAGGTGGTTCTTCAGATTTGACGACCGGAAGCATGCCATAACGAGCTCGAATTTCCGGTGGATCGTTCTCGTAAGCTCGCTCGAATTCCTCCTTTCGACGAGCATCTTCTTCCGCGAGACGGTGAGCAGTATCACGTTTCTGTTCAAGTCTCTCGAGCTCCTTTGAGATGCGAGAGGAGGCGGTCGAATTGCGACCGTTGGGAAGAGAAGCCTTGGAGGAATTCCGAGAGTCCTTGGGAGTCGGGGAGGAAGAGGGGGAGAGACGGCTCTTGACTTTGCTAAGAGCTGATTTGATTCCAGACATTGCTGGGCGTGGGCGTAGAGGTAAGAGAAAGAAATAAAGTTGAGACTAGCCTGCACTCACAACCGACGTAGTTATAACCAAAGTTGAACCGAAGTGTTTATCCAGGCCGGCCCCTCTACGGAGGTCGATGCACTGACAGGGAAGGTGACGTCGTTAATCTCTACGTCATTCTGCCGTAGTTGTCCCTTTGATTGATTCACCTCGTTGTTACCATAACGCCATAAAGCCTTAGAAGGATATGGAATATCACCGGAAGGACCTGGAATCAACTGGAATGGACGTGATTTGTGAAGGGACAAGTCAAAGTCATTGGACAACGTGGGGGAGAGAAGAGGAGTGGGCGTGAGATATTTGCCCAACAAGTGATGTGACGAACGCGACGCGTTACGTCTGGTGGCCTCCTATGGCCACAATGAACAAAGCCCTACGAAGCCGTCCGGGGGATATCCGAAGGAGACTTGGAGGAGACTAATGACTCAGGACAGATGGAGAATCCTTCCAACGGTACTGCTGTACATTGCTGTACTCTCTTGGAGCCATTCAACAAAACCCATCCAATCGGGCTCGTTATGACCGGAGGGGGGATTCAAGGGAAAATGATGCTCGTTTGGGACGTTGTCAACATGGACAGTCGAAAGCGGATGTGGTGTAGCCAAGAGACTGTGATGGTCTCGTGGATCAAAGCGCAGTCGAGACCCGAGGCTGTGCAGAGTGCGGTTCCGTTGCTATTTGAGCAAACGATCCTGGAAAGTTATTCAATCCCCTGTGCCTGACGTCGACCTGAAAAACGCGCTCAAGCAGGCTGGACTTACAGTTCTTCTCGCGCTCATCAGCGGAGAACATTGACAGGTAGTACCTGATCTACCTCGGACAAAGCCACAGGAGTGTCTATTTCGTCGACTGGTCTCTTGACGTGCATTGGACCGTGGGGCTTGAGTGCATAAGTGGCTGAAAAGAGACTGGACGATCTTTCGGACAGCGTGGCGCAAGTAGGATGACAACGTTACTCTGGGTCGCCTCCTCTAACTTCTGGGTGGCTAGAGCGAGTTGAGGACCGCATGAACAAGCGTCACTACGGCGGTTCTAATAGGACCGTCTATATAGTGCCCATATCCCTCATTCCATCCATTTGGTGTGTCCTGAAGAGTATCGCGAGCGGCATAGACTGGCAGCGAGTAGTGAGCGCTATAGCCTCGGATACAATGCTAGCCTGGGGACGATGTCAGAGGTGACGTTCCAAAGCAAAGCGTCCCTTCTAAAAGAGATGAAAGTCGACGTTAGCACACTCGCACGGTTGGCCAGGGAATACAGGTGGTGCGTTACCGGTTACTGCTTCTGGACAAGGGGTCGGTGTATGCTCGGGGTATGACCCTTCTCCATCTCTGCAAGCCTACAGAGAGCGGTGAGGCCTCACAAAAGTGTCTGAAACACTTTCAGATGCCTGGGTCGAGCTCTGAGGACTCTCTGGACGTTGGACGCGTCTGGAATCGCGCCCGGGTCTCGCCACTCGTATCTTTTATTACATCTAGTTCCTCTCGGGGCATATTGCGATACTAGGCGGTGTAAGGTTTGAGTGAGCACGACCATGAGGTACAGCCTCGGGTACGACGGTGGCTTAGGGTCAGTATGGTGTCACTGTTGGAGGCGACCTCCCGAAAGCAAACGTCCCTTCGAAACAAGAAAGGTCGACGTCAGTATGCTCGCATAGTGGGGCAGCTGATACGTTATGGATTCCGGGTCCGGACAAGGACGTGAGGTCTGTATATGCTCGTGTACGCGCCTTCTTCATCTCTGCCAGACCTGATCAATGAGATCACCTAGAACACGGAAATGGCCGATCTGCCTTTGGAAACCTGGGTCGCTGAGGGATTGGATGTATATGGGACCGTATTCAGATCTCGTTCTCCGTAAGTTTCATTCCGTCCGATGATTATTCATGGTGCATGTCACGAGCGGCATTGTCTGGTGCGCATGCAAGGCGAAAGTTAGAATATTGGTCCAGTTAACCAGGAGGGGAAACATGGGACGTTACTGGCCACCGCTTCCAGACCAGGACATGAGGTCGATGTATGCGCTCTCTCTGTCGGTAAAACGTCCAACGTACCCCTACACATCCGGTTCGAGTCCTAGGGTTTCTCTGAGTAATCGGACATGGAGATCGTGTCTGGGCGTAGGACTCGTGAGTCGTCATTCGGATTTTCGAGGGGATAAACTTACCGATTAAGTGAAAACCTTGGTTGATTTCCTAGAGTCTTCGCATATCGGTGCTAGCTTGTGTGGCGATCCAGGACTACGTGTTTTGTGCTTGTAGCGTCGCAGAGTACTACCTATAATGGCGGCCATACTCACGAGCGACGTGGAAATAGGACATCTGAGAGTAAAAACGCGTATATCTGAGATTTAGGAAGGATCCGGCACCAAAATAAAGCAAAAAGTTACGATGCTAGTCAGAGGGAGTAGATGAGGGTAGAAGTTGACGCGTCGCGGTACGCTGGGCGCTAATCAGTATCAACGTGTCTATCTCAGGCAGATAAGATACCAGTGGGAATCAATACCTTTCGACTCGCTTTACTGACACGATCAGACCTGTCCACCGCTGCGGACTCTGCCACTGCCAGGAGCTCGCCAAGTCCTTACGATAATTTTGCCCATTCATATTTATATATAACCTCTGCCGCTTGCGTTCTGCCCGTGTCATGAAGGGTCTCCAATTGTGCCGCAGTAACGGATAACGAATCCATCATTCATTTCTAGGGTTTGTTGGCACATGAACAACAGTGATACTGATCACAAAATTCCAGTACCTTCCCAACCCTTGGGACTTGCTCGCATCATGAGCATACAGAATGGTGAAAGAGCAAAGTTTGTAAGGTACAATCATTCAACAATCATTCAAAAACTCAGGGCTCCTTCCTGGGCATGCTGCGCGTGTCCCTTCCTCTTACTTGAAGGACTTTAGCCTTTTTGACCAAGTTGACGGCCAGACGGAACGCTTTATGAATGATGACCTTCCGGTTTCCGAGTTTGGACGGACATGAACCAGTTACCACACAACATTCCCGTGATGGGCACGTACACACTGACCGGTATCTCCTGAGTCGCTGAGTCGCTTTGCAGTAAATTCAGAGTTCGAACGAGTAGCTTCAATGTCCGAGTTGTGGTCTTGACAGGATGCCGGCGTAGTCCCTAAGGGATCCCTTTAGAAGTATGCTGGAGTATGCTGGGCAAGGTGCAATTTCCGTACTGTCTTCGCTTGCTCTGAGAAGGGGTGCACATTTGTATATGCACCGTATCTTTACACGAAGCTGAACCCTGTTGAAGCTCTCCTGCAGCAAGCTCCGAAGTGTCCACAATCCTGCAACCTGACTTACCGCCACACTCTGGTCGTCCGGCCAACGTCCGTTAGAAAATTGAAAATCCGGTGATATTACCTCATAGGGGATAGTCGTTACCTAAAGCGCTTAATTGTTCCCCACGCTCCGGCTCCCTGAAACCTCTAAAGCCGCGTGACAGCGAAATAGTCCCCCATTCTTTTCCTCCTACCCTCACCTCCACCGTTCACGCCCACGTCCTCTACCCCTTCACCTCATTCAACTGTCGTGAAGCTCACCAACGCTTTTACTCTCTTTACTATCGTCTCTACGTGAGAACCACCCAGTCATCTCATCATGCCTGGAATTTGGTCTCGCCATCCAAAGTACTTCATATTCGTGTTTGTCGTCCTCGTCACGACATTTTACCTCTTGAACCCTATCACTCCATTGCCTGACCCGGCAACATTTGGGCTGAGGTTCAAGAATGATCTAGCTGGACGATTGGAGAGGGCGGATGTCATCTACGACAAGATGTTGCAGGACAGGAAGGGGTTGATTAAGAAGTTTGGACCCAGCCCATCAGACGTGATGATGTGAGTGCTCGAGCCCTGGGGGTTTATCTACCATTTGCAGGTAGCCAAAGCCCTGAGATAGAGAGAACTAATGTGTCTTCTCGACGTGTCATCTAGGTTCCCGCCTGTTACACCTCCTTACCCCCCTTATACAGTTTGTGCGTGTTCTCTGTGATGCCTATCAACTTTGAGAAGGACTGACGTGGTTCAAATCTTTTGCAGGGGACTTTTTCCCAGCTGCGTACAACTGCCCTCACGACCTCCAGCGACTCGGTGCATTGGGCGACGGTGGAAAATGGGTCTGTGGAATCACTAGAGTGGAGAAGAAACGTGACTGTGTTGTCTATTCGTTCGGTCAGTTTTCATTACCTCGTTACTTCTGCATCTTCCCTTTCCTCCCGCCCCTTCTTACCCTCGTTCACTGGGTGCTGTCCTCTGCCCTTCGCCTGAGGTCGGTGACGCTTCGGCTATCTTGCCAGTAGCCACGCTTGTTAGCCACGGCGCCGGAAAAAACGTTTTCTCGAATTTCGAAATTTCTGTCGTCACTCCAACAAACACTCGTACTCACCCCGGTCTCCTTCACAACCCCAGGTATCAACTACGAATCATCCTTCGAAGCCGCGATCCTCGATAACACAGACCACTGTCAAATCTGGGGCTATGACTTTAGCGTCAAATCGTTCGGACCTGAGATTCCCGAGTCTCAGGCAAACAGGACGCATTTCCACCCATACAAGCTCGGCGGAGAGGATCTGGCTGCCGTCCCGGAGAAGGAAGAACCCCCAATGTACACGCTGAGTACCTTGATGAAGCAGAATGGTGCGTGTTCCCGTTTTTCGCTTGTCCGCAGCTCTTGGCTAACGATGCCCCTCTCTCTTTCTCTATCTTCACTTTCCATTTTGTGGCTCACCCTCGCATGTGCATGTGTCACCCAAATTAACTCGCGTAATTTGCAGGCCACACCCATATCGACATCTTGAAGGTGGACATTGAAAGCTGGGAGTTCGACTTGTTGACTACGTTGGTCAAGGCGTATAGGAATGCCGGGCTGCCGTTACCATTTGGACAATTGCAGCTAGAGATTCATGCTTGGCACAAGTCGTTCAAGGACTTCTTGGAATGGTGGCAGATGCTCGAGGAGGCTGGATTGAGGCCTTTCTGGACTGAGGTGGGTGCTACTTCCTTGATATTCTCGTTGCATTTGATGCGCCTTCGTTATTCACTGTGTTCACATGAATGTAATTGTGCTTACGCGTTCTCTCCTCCAGCCTAACCTCGTATACAACAACTACAACCGCGGAGGAACTGCTGACCTCGCAGAATACTCGTTCATCAATATCAAGGGCGACAATATCTTCATCAACGAGGGTCTTGCTGGACGCCGCCGCGACCATTAGATATCTTTTCAGTGTCTGGTGTCTAGAGTTACATGCGTCAACAATAGATACTTAGAATCGTACGAGATTCAATCCTCGCCATTCGTTGTCCGGGAATTGGGACGGTTTCAACGCATCTTGTCTTTCGGACCTCCTCTCTTGCCTTTTTCTACTTCACCGCCTTCCCCAAATTCTCGGTTCATGTCCACCCATAGGAACATTCGGATAAAAAGCGATCCTGGATCTCTACTTCGTACCTCTATCTACATACAATCCCATTTACACGCCTCCTGTCGTCGCCATCGCCCTTTTCTTCACCCAAGCATACGTATTATAGTACTCACCATCCTTAGCCTAGTGTACTATCTATTCGTATACCCGCAGAATACCTTACCCTCTCTTCTCTTTATCCCGCACCAATCGGAAAATGGATCTACGGAAATGGGATATGTGGGCATGTGGAGTGGAAAGTCTTTTTCCGTTAGTTGATCGTCGTCTGTCGTCCGAAGCTCCACGGTCGGTGGTGCTCGCGTCTCGCTCGTTGTCAGGAGTACGAGAAACGAAGGTAATGAATCACTCCGATACTCCACACCCTCGATTGGCAAGTACTAGCGCGCCCCTCTGATTCGCTGTTGGCAGCATTGCAGCTGTCGCGATGTGCAAGTTTTGGATCGTGATTTTTGCTTGCGTGTGGATAGGTCAGCATCCAATTTCGATACAGGCTGAGGTCGGAAAACGGTAACTAAGTTTTGGGTGGATCCCCGCAAGATCTGCACGCGAAGGATTCGGATGTCACTACAATCAAGTCGAAGTGGGGATAATGCGACAGCTCCAGAGCTTGGATCTAGAGCTTGAAACCACGAAAACTCGTTTGGGTTTTTAGAGGTGGACAGCGACTGGGAGGATTATTCAAAAGGCATAGAAAAAACCCTTCCACGACTGAGTACACCGTTCGGGAATCGAACCCGAGCCGCTTGCTACCTCGTGAAAACGGAGAGGATGGAAGGCAAGCATGATAACCACTTCACCAACGGTGTCTTTACTTGGTTGCGGTTGAGGTGGATAATAGATAGAACAATACCAAAGAAGAGTTGAACCGTACACTGACAGGACTCACATCGTTCTTGAATTTCAACCATCATCTTCATCGATTCATCGAACCATCAATGGCTCTGGTAACGATCCCTCTCGAGTATGGGCCGACCATGAGTACAGTACAACCGTTAGTTTTCTCTCACATCGTCCCGTAACTGATATGTGTAGATGCCCGAATCGAGGAACGTACCATATATGTGAGAAGCCTGCATCAAAGTCATTTATCAGGTATCTGAGGCGGGCGGGGAGCTTTCCTCGTGTATCAGCATCCAGCTTCGTATTCGAACGATGATATATCAGGTACCTTCCTCAAACTTGCGCTCGGATCTGACCCACGCTTTGCCACAAATCGCCCCTTTTCCTCCTCGACTTCCTAGTAAGCACTCTCAACTCCCACCGCGGTACAGCAATCCCGCGTCAAATGTTTTATCGTGGTGAAAGAGGAAGTTCCCATCATGCATCTGTCCTCTAACTCACCCGTGACGTTTTCAGGGGCCTATTTATGTCTTTTGAGGGACCGAAGCATATTTGACTCGTGTGGTGCTTCAATCCCCCTCGCTGTGAACTATGGGCAACATTTCACAGGGACCAATTCTCACCGTTATCTTGAGTATCCTTGGACTCTCTGTTGCCCAAACCGTTCTCAATGTCACCGTCGGCGAAGCAGGGAGCTTCTTCGAGCCTGATAGTGTCTCTGCGAGAACAGGCGATATAGTGAGGTTTATTTTCTCCAAGTCGTAAGCTACTTTATTCGTTTTTGTCTACTTCCTCGACTGACGCAAAACTGATAAAATAGACCCCATGCAGTTACGCAATCATCATTCGAGAGACCCTGCGAGGCTCTTCCAGGTGGGTTCAGCAGCGGGTTTGTGGATATTGATCCTACAACCGCGTCGACATGGGACTTGCGGATTACAAATGAATCTAGTAAGTGCCGCAACGAGCTGGCCCCAAGTTGAACCAAACCCAGAATAATGATCACTTCTTCTTGGTAGTACCGATATGGTTTTTCTGCGCGTTGAGCAGACCGTCATTTCACTGCAGCACTGGGATGGTCGGGTGAGTTGAAGGGCCAGAGCCTGTGGTAGGAATCTTGGTCTAACAAAACGGACGCCGAACAGAGCGATCAATCCCCCGAGTATTCCTATGCTGGACAATTATAAGTCAAATGCGAGGACGTACCCTCTAAACTCTGCTCCCGTGAGTCAGGGAACTCCCTCCGCCCGCTCTTTCATTTCTTGATACATATCGCTCTTTGTGCAGCCCGTCCCGACGGTTCTATCTGGTATTGGTGCTGTGGCTAGTGCACCACCGTCAACTCCAAGCACCGTCTTTGACCCGTCAGGTTCTTTGACAAGCTCAAGTTCTCCTATCACCGACACATCTGCCGCCCCCACGAGCCCACCCGCGAGCTCGGGCTCATCGCACAATACGGCAGCAATAGTGGGGGGAGCAGTCGCAGGCGTCGTGGCTCTCTTCGCCACAATCGTCATTATCGTCTTCCTCCTTAGAAAACGACCAAGGCGTCAACCAGGACCACCCCAACACGAGACAGTCGAGACGCATTATTTTCCCCCACCAAACTCACCACCCAACTCAGGGAAAGCCGAGTCCTTCGCTACCGCTACGGCGGCGGGGCATACGCTTCCTGCTTTGTATCCGACTCGACGACAGGAAGAAGCCGTACCCAGCGTTGGGCACGCTTACAGTGGTCATCCGGGCCAGTCAAGTACTTCGTCGAATGCGCGAGGTCTACCCCAAGGGGCTATGCATGTCCGCAATCAGAGTAGTCTGGGCGAACTGCCATCAAGAATGGGACATGTGCCTTCTGTCGAGCGGCTTCACGGCCACCCGTATGCATTTGCGGGCAATAGTGGTGATACGGAAAATGATGGAGACTCCAGACTGTCAGAAGCCGAAACTAGGCCAGAGAATATCAGCTCATTGGCAAAAGAGGTAGCGGCTGTTTTGATGAGGGAACAAAATCAGAAGAGGAGAGCTGATGGCAATGATAGCAGTAAAAACCGTACCAGGCCTGGGAGAGAGTCTCCAGGAGATCCTCCTCCTGATTATAAGTCGAGGGGCCATGGGGGCTGAACACGATTTGCGTACGACTTCAAGACCAGGATACGAAAATAATGGCGTATTTATTTTATCTTTTTGGGAAACGTAGCGGTCTTTATGGGTTTTACGATTCGACTCTCGATTGAAGCGTACTCATTCTAAGCTCAACGCCGGCTGCATGGGGAGCACACGAAATCCGCTGCGATGAGTTCCAAGCCCAGAAGAGATGTATGTGTTTGTTTCCCGTGCGAATCCGAGCTCTCCGTCGTCCCTCTGTCTGGAAATTTGATACCTTCACCTGGCCTGGTGTAAAACCCAGAAGCTACATAAGCACCTTCGAATGCTTATTTGCCGCAACATCAGGCCGTGGAGGATTTTTGGAAGAATACGGAGAAAATCAGGGAAACCTCTCGTGAGCAATATGGTTCAGACAGCCTCCCAACAGGATTAGTCATCCGAATGGACTATTCAGCTCTCCCAGTGGGTTTTACCGTAGAATCTATGGAGGACGCTGGTCAATATGTCAAAGCTCATATATGATATGAGTCGTAATGTGTCACCTTTGGTTCTCGAAGTTTGTGGGACGATGGTTTGGTCGCTTTGGCGTCGATACCGTTCGCGTCTATGCCATCAGTTGTATCCGCTATATAAAAATCTTTTCTTAGAACGTAGAGAGGGCGTGGGGGAAAGCCCAAGTAGTTCCTGGCAAAATGATTTTTCGATACTTCTACGGACGGAATCCCTTGTGTATAGCCTCATTCTAAGCAACCTTCATTGACAGGCCAGGCGTCCACAAGTTTGCTCGTGCACTGTGCAGCCCGGGATTATCGAAGGGTGGTAGATACGGTCGTTTTCAAAAGTCGCGAAGCCGTCTGATGAATTGCACAAATATGATACAAGGTGTAAACTAGAATCTACACGTTGTGAATGGGTCCCTTTGTTCGATTATCGTTGAGATGGCTTACCCTGAGGAAACGACGGCTACTGGCTAACGACCAGCTCAGAACCTATGGCCTTTCCAATTCCATTCAACACAACGTTAGAGTTGGTATGTTGTCCTACACCTTGGCCTGATGTGCCACTCCGCTGCCCCTGTCCTGGAGGTCCTGCCGGATTGCTCTGCACGGGTTGTCCAGCTGTTGTGGTCGGGGCTCCCGACGATAACGCCTGCGAGAGCGCTGATGAAAGTGGATTGGCTGCTTGCGAGCTTGACAACGGCGCAACCCCTCCACCCGGTGCATCTGTTGATCCTACCTGCTGACCTCCACTGCCAGGAGCATCACTAGAATCTCCATCTTCATTCTTCTTCTTCCGCGTCCCCCCAACAGCACCTCCAACAATCGCACCAATAACAACAAGAGCCGCAATACCAATGATGACCATGCCCTTCGTAGTTCGGTAGAAAGGTACCCGTCTGGGAGGAATGGGAGTGGCAGAGTTGGGCCCTAAACGTTCTTTCGATGCAGTGATACCACTTTCCAGGTCTCGATTCAGATTGGTGTTGCTAGCGTTGCTGGTCTTCGGTGCGCTCAAGATGTCGGGATTATAACCTTCCTGTGTAATTCGGATAATAACGGCGGTTCTCAGCTCAGCCGTAGTATCAGGATCTGTACAAACGCACCTGGCGCATCTGCTTCGTAGTCTCAGGAGCCGCGGCCAGCAGGCTCTGATCATATGCTCCATGCCCATGGTTGGAAGACATCGTCGTTGTCTTCAAGTTGGTAGAAGGAGGAGAAAAGAGGAAAAGAAAGTGGGAAAGGGAAAATGAAGGGTTGGGGGGAAGGGTTGAGGTTGTCGCCGCCCAACTGTCAGGCCTGTCGGTCTGTCAAAGACAACAGAATGATTCAACACTGCCTGGCGCCCGAAATTAAGGGCTTTTACCCCTTAAAAGGTTTGGTACATGATTTGATGAAAGAGCAAGAATAGAGGCCACCCATAATCGAGTGAACGATGAGTGAAGAGGTTGTGGTTGGATTTGTATGATGAGGCAACGCTGAGAAGCTCAAGTTGGAAGAGGACGGAGATGACCATGATGACCGGCAATGTACCGGTGAAGATGCGTCATGCAATGTTTGATTGCTCGGCAGTGGCCGGTGGCTGAAGTACTGGCGTTCCGTGTGCGCATCAAGTCAGAACTGCTGACTGCACAGTACACAGTACACGGGAGAGTAAGTACCAGCGATATTCACGTGAACCGAATCGTAAAACCCATAAAGAGCGCTACGTTACCCAAAAAGATAGAATAAATACGCCGTCATTTTCGTATTCTGGTCTTGAAGTCGTAAGCAAATTTTGTGTTCAGCCCCCATGGCCCCTCGACTTATAATCAGGAGGAGGATCTCCTGGAGATTCTCTCCCAGTCCTGGTGCGATTTTTACCGGTATCATTCCCATCGCCTCTCCTCTTCTGATTTTGTTCCCTCATCAAAACAGCCGCTACCTCTTTTGCCAATGAGCTGATATTCTCTGGCCTTGTTTCAGCTTCCGACCGTCTGGAGTCCCCCCCATTCTCAGTATCGCCACTATTGCCCGCAAACGCATACGGATGTCCGCGAAGCCGCTCAGCAGAAGGCACATGTCCCATTCCTGGTGGCAGTTCGCCTAGACTACTCTGATTGCGGACGTGCATAGCCCCCTGGGGTAGACCTCGCGCAGTAGACGTACTTGACTGGCCCGGATGGCCGCTATAAGCGTGCCCAACGCTAGGTACGGCTTCTTCCTGTCGTCGAGTCGGATACAAAGCAGGAGATGTATGCCCCGTCGCTGTAGCGAAGGACTCGGCTTTCCCCGAGTTGGGTGGTGAGTTCGGCGCTGGAAAATAGTGCGTCTCGACTGTCTCGTGTTGGAGTGGTCCCAGTTGACGCTGTGGTCGTTTCCTA